TTTTTAAGGAATATTTTTTCAGGGCTTATTACAAGGCGTGGATTTTTTAAGGAATATTTTTTCAGGGGTTATTACAAGGCGTGGATTTTTTCAAGGGTTATTACAAGGCGTGGATTTTTTAAAGAATATTTTCGAGAGCGTTATTACAAGGCGTGGATTTTTAAAGAATATTTTTTCAATGGTTATTACAAGGCGTGGATTTTTTAAAGAATATTTTCGAGAGCGTTATTACAAGGCGTGGATTTTACGAATATAAAGCTGAAATAATTTTTTAAAAGAGTAATAGTAAAATAAAATACAGGAATTGATAAAAAGCTAATCCTATTTCGTCTACTGTTGCTGACAATGAACAAACATTTGATTGATTTAATTTTTTTTCTTACGAATTTTGGAGTAAATAAAATCGATATAACCAGATAAAAAGGAATATTCAAATGTTTGTCCATGGCTAGAATATAATATAAATCTATTTACACATTTACAAATCTATATACTGGTTGAATATCTAGATATTGCATTCATCTAACATTGAATACTACACTTCTTCACAATACAATTCTCTACCACCACAGCTCTTTTCACAAGACACAGTAGACAGTAGTTGAGGAAAAGAAATGAAATTGAATTTGCATACCAATAGAAGTTTGTTTTTTCGTTATGATTCGTATTTTTGTTGTTTCTTTCATTCATTTTGAGGATTCTAGGATATTGTTATGCGTTGTGTTATTGTTTTTTTTTTTTTTTAATTTTTTTTTTCGTTTTCTTTCTTTTATTGGCTAACAAAATATTTTGGTTTATTGTGTTATTCGTTATACTTTTTTGTATTTTTGATGAGATTTGAGTTTTTTTTTCTTAACAAGTGGTCGGTGTTAGACACCTTATCAGATATGAAAACGCCATCTATAGAAATGATATGAAAAGAAGATGAATGAGCGAACGAATGATTTGAAAGATATTTTTGTTGATATAGAAAAGTTGTTAACGATGGAGAAAAAATGCAATTCAATTCAAAGTGCGGCATTAGTGGCGAAGAAAAGAAAATACAATTGCGCAAATGGGAAAATGGAAAGAAATAAAATTTGACTATGGTTAGTGATTGTTACTTTTGAAGGACATAAAAATAAATGTCAGTTTTTACAGGAAGTTTTTTTAAAACAAATTAGATAATACTGTTTGTTGGTGGTTGGGTGTATTGTGGAGGATATAAATAAGTATTTTATGTGTAAATTGTTGAGCTTCATTTCGCAGGTGTCATTTACAGGGAAATGATTTTTACAAAATTATATAAGACTTGATTACTAAACTTAAATATCAAAAAAATGGATAGAGATGATGCGCCTTCGGTTCTGAGCTAGGTGTATGGTAATCTTATTATGATGTCCATTTGTCGGATCAAATCGTATACTCAATTAGCTTCATATGAAATTTTTCTAGTTTTGACACTTTGTGGGGCAGGTTAAAGAATGATTGAAACGATGGCTCACGTTTAAATTAGATTTACTACATTTTCTAAATGTTGTCACTTTGTGAAGGAGGTATCAGAAGGGGTGGACCGGATGACCCCATCTTCAGACATTATAAATGGCCATTACGTAGCTTGTGACACAACATTTGTTCAATAAGCCGAGCTTATAAAATATTTCCAGGGGCGTCTGTCTTGTGCGCAGGTCTTCCAATATGTAATACCATGTTCCCAGATATTGTCTTCCACTTGATCTTTCCATCGGATTCGTGGCCTTTTCCTTTTACGTGAACATCAGTTGGCTCGATTTTATATGCTTTTTCAGCCTGGGCATCCTCATCCATTCGCACAACATGGCCTAGCCACGTAGTCGCTGCAGCTCGATACGTCTGACTATGTTCAATCGACTTCGATATTCACCTTCGACGCAGATCGGCCCGTAGATCTTTCGGAGAATTTTTCTTTCAAACATTTCAAGAGCTGCCTCATCTGCTTGAGCAAGTAGCCATGCTTCTGATCCACATATCAGCACGCGTAGTATCAGCATCTTGTAGAGTGTGAATTTGGTCTGGCGGGAGGTGGCCTTGCTTGCATCTGTTGGCCAACACCATACTTCTCGGAATTTCAAAATGGATGTCATTAGTTTTATTTATGGCTGTACCAAGGTACATAATATCTTTGACTACCTCGAAGCTGTAGTTCTCAAGTTCCACAGTTGGTCCGAGTCTACTGAACGTCTTGCGCGTTGATACTATCTGCTTGGTCTTCTCGCCGTTTATTGCAGACTCCTACCGCTAGCCACTTTGGCAGACTCCTTCTCAATTTGTTCAAAGATGGCTGTTACAGCTCTCAATGTTCGACCCATTATGTCGATGTCATCGGCGTAGGCGAGTAACATCTGTTGTTTGGTGTACAGAGAGCTATTTCTGTTCACATTTGCATCTCGTATGACCTTTTCCAACAGGATGTTAAAAATGCCACACGACAAACTGTCACCTTGTCTGAATCCTCGATCGGTATTAAATCGGATCTTGTGCCAGTTAAAATTAACCTGCATAGCCGTATTAATTTTGAAAGAATGCCAAACGCAGACATGGCTTTATACACCTCTGAACGGATAGGGCTGTCGAATACGGCTTTCTAGCCGACGAATAGGTGGAGTGTCGATGTGTTTTTCGTGGGTATTTTCCGGGATTTGTGGCAGAGTGAAAATCTACTCAGTGGTGGATTTGCCAGGCTTGAAGCCGTATTGTCGCATTCTCATTTTAACCATAAATCCGCAGCCAAATTCACGTCTCGTTTCATGACAGCTATAATACAGGGCGTAATTATATGTTTTATTTACACCAGTCCCTTTCCATCGCATGTCCTGTAAGGCAATAATATCGGCTTTGTTAAAGCAAAAACTGCGCCTGTTCTGTACAACTTGCGCACATTCCAAGTGCAGATTCGCAGATCGTGGGCCTTAATACGTTTGCGGGGGTCGTCAACATTAGGGGATTTGGTTTGCCACATATCAGCTCATTATTTAAACGGATTAATGAAAATAGCTACCCCAGGTGACACCGCGGGAAGGTCAGTGTCCACAATTGAGATGAAAGAGGGACCAAGATAAGCCTAGGCTTTGCCATGTTAAAGCCAGTCAGAGCCGTTGTTTGGTGTCTAACATCCCCTATGCCATCAAGGAGACTTAGTTGACCTCGTATAAAACAATAATAGGCCGGCCAGTGGTTATCTTATGCAGCCCCAAACCTGTTCGAATACCAGTCTGGGAACTGCAATAATAATCATGGGGAGATAAAGATCATATCCGTCCATTGGCACAATCGAATATTGTCAATGCAATATCTGCTGCTTTTGTGTTATCATCGGCAATAGCCTTGCCATATCCTAATGGACAGGGTTTCTCCGCCCTTTCACGTCACGTGAAATCTTCATAATCTACAGAGAGGCCCAAAGGTACATGCGTGAACCTTTAGAACAACAGGCCAATTTCAGACAACAGGTCTATAGCTATAATCGTACACTATCTATAGCAGTAGAGGTTTTTGCAAATCGAAAACTGGCAACAGTGGACAAACTCCGTAGGGGTTGCAACCCTCCAGAATTGGGACACAGTATTGTATATGTTCAATTTCTATTTTTTTGGTGCGAACTAACATGCCTATTCAGAGCTACGAAATGCTCGCTCGAATTCGAGTAAAGAGTGAAACTCACTCGAATTCGAGCGGGAGTACTCCTGCGAGTAGAAAAAGTGAATAGAGTATACTCTATTTTTCTCTGCCACTCAAATAAGAGCGGAAGTGCTTCGCTCGTTTTCGAGTGGGAGTGAAATACGCTCGAAATCGATCAGATTACACTCTTGCCGAGTACTCTTTTATTTTTATTTTTTTGTGATACCGTTGTTTTACTTGATGTTGTTTGTGTGCATTGTTTGTTTGTTTTGTGATGTTTGGTTTGCAGTACTGCTGGGAAAGCATGCATCAACAAGCTCGTTTTCTGCGTTCTCTTTATGTAAGTCATTTCATATAAGATTTTTATTTGTTCCTCATATGTGTAAACATTTTCAATAAACAAAATAATCAATGTCATTTTATGTTTTTTGTAAAGATCTATCTCCCCACAGCAAACAAAAGATCAACATCAAAAAAAAAAAAAAAAAAAAATTGGTACTACACACACACACACAAATAACCAAACAACCAAATGTATTTGTCCACTCGATTTCACTCTTGGAGTGAACTCTTACTCTATTTCGAACAGTTTGACTCACACTCTTTTTCTTCAACAAGGAGTACTCGCGAGCACTCCCAAACAAAATAAAAGAGTGGAGAGTATACTCCCTAAAAAACTCGTACTCTTTACTTACTCCCACTCGGGAGTATTTTTCACTCGCGAGTAAAATCGAGCAAATCGGAGCTCTGTGCCTATTACACTATACCGATCCACGTGCAAAACTTCAATATTCTAGTGTAGTCTGTGCGTTTATGTGAATGTACAGCTGAGCTGTTGACCTTTGTACTGATATCGATTATATGGATGTATGCAGTCGGATATAGGAGGTATTTTTATATATTTACAGGGGTCTAACTACTATTATTTAGAGGATGCAAATATGGGACAATTTTCCGCAATTTTGCTCACCTCGGTATATAGCTCTGTAGAAAATTAAAGACCTGAGGTCATTTTTGGTAAGTCTGCCATGTCCGACTACACTGTTTTGGTATTCCAATTATATTCGTCTCATTCCTCTAAAAATTCACTACATTTTAAATTTTGAAACAAATTTCGAGAATTATATTTTATTACAAACATTTATAAGGGGATTGGTCAACAAAATGGTAGATAATTTCTTTCCATGGAAATGACACCTGGGTGAAATTAAACTCATCAAATTGTGTTACTACGGAAACAAATTATCAACAAAGTTTTATCACAATTTTTGTTGGTGGTGTTGTTTGTTTTCACTTGGGGTAGAGAGAAGAGGAGGGGTGGATAGCAATAAAGCCAAAATGATAGACAATCATCACTTCATCTTCTAAGATTCGGAAACATGCGGACAACTTACCTTCAATGTTTTCTTAAATGCTCCGCGAAAATCTCGATTGAAGTAGGCATAGATAATGGGATTCAGGGCCGAATTGAAATAACCAATCCAAAAGAGAATGCCCACAACGATGCGAGGTGTGGTACAACTGTCACACAGTGTTGAGGTGATGTACCTAGAAAAAAGAAAAAAACGAAACGAATAAAAATGAAAAAGAAGAAGATAAGGAACAAAGGTGTGATGAAAAAAGTTGAAGATTATAAATTACAGGTAGCTATCATCATCAGCACCAACGGAAACCGGTAAAGGAACCCGGAAATAAAAAATAATTTGCATAAGAATGAACCGGACGCACACGTAGTAGCCATATATCCCGACAAAAAATGTCTACTCCATTAACACATAGACACACACACAAAAAATGGGATATCTCCTCCATCAAAATACTTACCATAGAAAGAAGGGCAGCCAACACAGCAGAAAGGCGCTCATAATAATGCCCAGTGTGCGTGCTGCTTTGCGTTCTCTTCGCATCGTCGATATGGTTGAGGGTTCCACCTGTATGCTAGGACGGGGTTTGGGTATTTGACTTATCTGTAAATGTTTCTCCAGCAGCAGAGCAGCAACTTTCGACCTTTAATGTGTGCGTGTGGGTGGATGGATGTTGGTGTTGTCAGTCAATTTCAGGTTTTTTGTTGTAGCGATTTTTGTTTTGGTGAATCCATTGTGGGGACATGGATGAATGGTTGAATATAAAATACAGAGAAAAAAGGCAAAAAAAAAGAAAAAAAAAAATTTATTAGCTTAAATTGTAAAGATTTCTGGTGTGTTAGAAGTTCTTATAGTTTTTTCTTTCGTAGGAAACTTGCTTCATTGTTTTTTTAGTTGATTACATTTTTTGTTATTCGCCAGGAAATGAACTTAGAACTTATATTTTATTCAGTTCTCTTTTTTAGATTTTGATTCCATGAAATGTAATCTATTAAGGGCAGATGCTGCAAAGCCCTTAGAAGAGATGGAAATAGTAGCAACAAGGTGTTTCTAAACGAGAATTGTATGCATATAGTAGTCACATAGAATGTTGTCATGTTATTCCAATGAAACCTTCATGAATTTCAAATTATTCGGTATCACTTTGGTAATGACCATGGATATGGGGTTTCCGGGTAATAAATACGACACTTAACTGAAAATAAGAGGTTATGGGGGTTTACTCTAACATAAGTTACTTGGTAACATTTAATAGGGTATTCACAGTAATATTCATCGGATTCTCTATAAGTGTAATATTTCATAGGTTTATTGGGAGTAAGGGGTCAATTTTGTTTGGTCGACTTTAAGAAATCATAATATCATAAGAAGTAATATGAGAGAGTTCGGAAGAGAGTAGTCATTATACTCGTTCAGGTTTTATAAAAGAAAATATCCTTATATGCGAGCAAAGGAGAGTATTGGCAAGTTGGACATAGCCTTTATAGACGAACCGAAGAGATATCTTTATGGCGTGATTTTGTCAGCTGAAAAGACTCTCTACACCCGAACTGAAATGAGTCTCTAAGACGAACTGAAGTGAGTCTCTAAAGACGAGCTGAAGGAAGTCTTTATAGCTCAACTGAATTGAGTTTTATAGACTAGCCGAAGGCAGTCATTCTAGAAGAGGTGAAGGGAGTATTTATTGACGAAATGAACAGAGACTTTATAGACGAGCTGAAGGGACTCTTATAGACGAGCTGAAGGCAGTCTTTCTAGAGGAGCTGAATGGAGCATTTATTGACGAACTGAAGGGAGGCTTTATATACGAGCTATAGGGAGACTTTATAGACGAGCTTATAGACCATATTTATTAGAAAACAAATAGAGACAGAGACATGCTCCGACGGCGTGGATATTTTGAAAAGGCTATCAGTATAAAAATAGTGTTTCTTATGACCTATTTTTAAAGGAGTATCAGAACCATAAGGGTGGCTTATCTTGGTCCCTCTTTTACCTCCATTGTAGACACTGACCTCCCCGCGGTGTCACCTGGTGGTAGCTATTTTCACCCATAAGAACTATAAAAATGGGCTGTTGCGTCAGGATAGTTGAATAAAAGACAATAATATGAAACAGAAAAGAAAAAGAAAATCAAACTTTCGAAATTTTTACGACCCTCGCAAACGTATAAAGGACCAAGATCTGCGAATCTCCAAGAAGTACAAAGCCGATATTATTACCTTACAGGAAATGCGATGGAAAGGGACTGGCGCAAGTAAATCAGATGATTATGCCCTGTATTATAGCTGCCATGAAACGAAACATGAATTTGGTTGCAGATTTATGGTTAATAGGAGAATAAAAGACCTCGTCTCCAGATTCACTTCAGTAGATGAGCGAATTGCTTTAATCCGTAAGCGAAGTTCTTCCACATCAGTCTTATTTGAGTCCATGCTCCGACGGAAAACTAAGATGAGCCGCCTAGAAACAGCATATGACCGCTGCCCTGGCCCTGCAATTAAAATTCTGCTTGGAGATTTTAATGCAAAAATCGGAAGAGAAAACAGATATATCTTACGAGCGCCTAGAAACAGCATATGACCGCTGCCCTGGCCCTGCAATTAAATTTCTGCTAGGAGATTTTAATGCAAAAATCGGAAGAGAAAACATTTTTGGGCCCACGTCGGAAAATTCAGCCTCCATGAAGAAAGCTATGAAAACGGCAACGTTGCAGCAAGTAGTTATCAGCATCTCGAGAAATCAAATCGATAGTGTTGAGGAAGGTATTCATCCAGTATTTTAGACGTTCGATCGATCCGAAGAGTGAATATCGGTTCAGACCATTACCTTGTAGCAGCCAAGGTTCGCACTCGTCTTAATGTAGCAGCAAAGGTGCGATCTAAGACAACACGGAAACTCGACGTCGAAAAGCTACAAACACACCAGATAGCAGAAGCCTACTCCGCTCAACTTACTCCCCTGCTTGACGAAAGTACTCCTTGTCCCGATAATAGTATAGAAGCACAATGGCAAAGAATTGCCTACTCCCTACAAACTGCAGCAAAAGCAACACTTGGGTACCAAAGGCCACCATCAAGAAACCCATGGTACGAACAGGAGTGTCGTAATGCTACTGAGGTGAAATTCGCAGCGTATAGGGCAACCCTGCAGACAGTAAAACGCCAAACCGAAGGCTTTGGTGCAGGCACATCCTTCTGTTGAGATGTGGAAGGAAACCGTGTTGAGAATATGAAGGGAACATTTTGCAATGCTTCTGGAATCAAATAGTAACGGCAATGAAGAAGATACTCCAGAACCAATAATACTCGCATACGTCGATGACATCGACATCATGGGTCGAACATTGCGAGCAGTAACAGCCACATTTGAACAAATTGAGGAGTCTGCCCAAGTGGGTCTGGCAGTATATGGAGAGACGATCAAGTTGATAGTATCAACGGGCAAATACGTCCAGTAGACTCGGACCAACTGTGGTACTTGAGAACTACAGCTTCGAGGTAGTCAAAGATTTTATATACCTTAGTACCGCCATAAATAAAACTAAGGACATCAGTTTTGAATATAGTGTTGGCCTACATATGCTACTATGGCCTAAGTAAGCAGTTTAGAAACAGGACCATCTCCAGGTAGACCAAACTCACACTCTACAGGACGCTGATACTACCAGTGCTTTTATATGAATCCGAAGCAAGGGTACATGCGCTCAAAATAATAGACATATAAAAGCGAGCCAGGTTATGGCTCACGCAGAAGGGGAAGGCCAAAAATTAGATGGAAAGATCAAGTGGAAGACAACATTGCCGAACATGGTCTTTCAAAAACTGCGCAAAAGACCGACGCGCCTGGATTTTTCTGTCACAAGCCAGCTATGTAAGTAAGTGTTTATACGATTGGCGTGAACGATAACTCAAACACTATTAATCCATTAATCGGTTCCAAATATCAAAAGTTATTGCTATATAGTTACAGCTATCTTATGAACAAGGTTAAATTCAATTAGTGAAGATCTTCCCTATACAGAGTATCCTACTGAGCACAAACTCTGCAGATCGTAATATCTTTGTTAATATTTCTTTGAATCTGTTTTCATATTAACATGGACAGACAGGACATACATAAATCGACTTAGATAGTGATTCTATGATTCTATTCTCAAAAGGACCCATGGGTCTATCTCGTTTTCTTTTGTTTGTTTTGAAAGCAATATGTTTTAGTTTTATATCAAAAATTCAATATTTCATGGTTAGAGCCACTTTCGATTTTCTTTCCTCTTAAAATTTTCCTTCCTTTTCAAATTGAAACTTGCCATTAATATTTGTTAAATTTATAATAACCTTGCAAAGAAAAAAAACCTTTCTGAAGCACTCAAGTGTTGCAAGTTTCCGTTCTTTAGTTCTTCTGTGTGTTCAATTGAAGATAAAAATAGTTTCTTTTTTTGTTTTGTTTTCCAACTCACCTGTAAACCAGTCGCTCTTGCCTATCTGCTTCCTGATAAATGCGATAATACATTGAAAGCATGACAATGCCAGGTATCCAAAAGCTTACCGATGAACTGACAATGGCATACGCTTTATTGACTTTAAATTCACAAATCTGGAAAAGAGAAAGGAAAAGAGAACAAATGAAACAAAAGAATTTATAACAAATTTATTCGAAAAAGAAGAAAACAAAATTAAGAAACTTAAATTAAACACAATTAAATTAAACACAAGTTTAAGGTTTTTCCCCAAAAGATTTTCTCTTTAAAGAAAAGATTGTCGTTTTTTAAAAAAGTCATTATTAAAATGTTAATATTTTGCCATTTATGCCTTAACTAACCAAACATTTGGTGTTTGAAACAAGAGGCGCTCTGTTGTCGATGTCGCTCTTGTGGAAAATAAGCAATTAAATGTTCATCGAACAGTACACGCCACAAAAAACAAAAAATCCCAATGCCGACAAATGTGAGCAGCAGTTGCGGCAGGAAAATTTTTCTTTAACCAAACCGAAAAAAAGACTTTCAACTATTAGCTAATGACAGTTTAATTATTTCATGGAATTTTAAATGCCTCACTGCTGGCAACCAACCAGACAGACGCAAGAGCTAATCGCCTGGCTAAAAAAAAAATCGCCCGATAAATTCATAAAAATTAACATTAAATTAATGAGGTAATTAACAACGACGAAGAAAACATTTGAACAAATCGTTTCTCATAAATTATCAAGAGATTTATCAGCAGCAAAAGGATAAATAGTCAAGTTCAAACATGAGTTCAAATCACACGCAACGTCAATACACCATGTGAAGTGAGTGGTGGTGGTGGGGGGGGGGACGATGAAAAGAAGCCTTTAACCTCAAATCTAGACTAATGTCATTTATTAGGCGAACTATAAATCGTGTAGCCAGTTGTTGTTGAAAATAAACATGTTAATATATCAATAGTTGATAAACTAAATAAAGGATTGGTTAAACGAAATTAATTCCTTCTACATGTCCTTTAAAAACCCAAGATTCCAGCTACAAACGTTTATCAAAAATATTCTAAAGAAGTGAAAGCGTAGATAAGTACGACCCGGAATTAGTTTCTATAATCTTCGCCATTTTAAATTTCATTGAAAATTTTCTGCTAGTCGGATAATTACTGATACTAAGTTTGGAAAACTAGACTAGGAACTTCAGCAAAAATAAAGGGGGACTTCTGTATGTATTTACAAACGTTGCCTTATCTTGAAAATTTTCTGGGAAGAAGTAATTTCTTTACCAAAGACAAATTACCGCCTTTTCGGTTGGAAAATGGGACTGAAATCCTAAATTTCTCTAACGATACTGTATGCAAAATTCGTACACCTACTAAATATTAGGAATTTACAAAGTAGTCAATCCAATAAGCACATTTTTTAAAATTTTATAATATTTTACTATTTTTATGGAAACCAGTAAGGAAAGATCAGTCGGACGGGACCGACTATATTATACCCTTCACCACTTTGGGTACATACAAGAGATGAGATGATAATATGTACAATATCCTGTAGATACTCGTAGAAGAGACATATCATCTTGGGAAGACCATTAAAATTAAATCGGGCGAAAGTAAATGTGTAATCTACACAGATATTTGAACCTTTAAAAACCATACACATTACATTCTGAAATCTATAAAAAATTACATGTCAATCGGGTAGACTTGGATTTTTTGTCAACCATTTTTATGAAATAGAGCAAAGTTATGTATGAGAGCTATATGAAAATCTGAATCGATTTCAACAGAACTTCACAGACATCAAACATGACTTAATTCAGTACACTGTGCAAAATTTTGTCTTAATCGGGCAAACCTTGGCAGTTTAGTTCACCATTTACATAAAATCGGACGAAAATATTTATGGGAGCTATATCTAATTCTTAACTGATTTCAACAAAACTTCGCATACGTCTATATGGACCTAAAACAGTACGCAAAATTTTGTCTTAATCGGATAAAGCTTGGGAGTTTGGTGCACCGTTTACCTGAAATCGGACGAAATATATCGCACACAACAAACTGGACTTAATTAAGTACGCTATACAAAATTGTGTCTATATATCTGAACCTAAAAATAAGAGCCTTTGCGGTTGGAAAATGCGACTGAACCTGGACCGATTTTGCAATACCAAACATGCTAGGAATAATAGAAATATCAGCGCAAAATGTCGAAGCTCTATCAAAAATATTGCGTGATTTAAACTTTCGAAATATACCAGAAGATGTTATCTTAGATCTCATCTTCGGATTTAATGTAATGTTTGGTAAATTATGACGATTTGCAATCAAAAGCTCAAATTCACTTCAAATTAAATCTATGGTTTTTAAATCGTACATGTGCACAGTTTGCACCAAATCTGACACTCCTTACATTTGAAATTCGGTTTACAATTTTTCAAAATGTTGACCTTTTGTGAGGGTGGTAGAAGGAGTTGACTGATGAATACCATCTTTGGACTAAAAATTCATTGATGTGTAAAGTTCGGTCATTCCATTCTCATAATATTGGATTTATAAACATTGAAACAAGGAAGGAATTGACCCACTCTCAGACCTAATCTAGGTTTCATAAAAATATCATTTATTTATAGCTACATTTTGACAATTTTAAAGGAGTAGACTGATATTCTATGTTGTCGAACTTGAACAACATTCGTTGCAATTGGCTCGTTTTGAATACTCACACGATCGGTTGATGTTTTTTTATGTTCACACGCTTCATGAAAACAAAAATTGAAGCACTGCGATCGTATATTTAAAAAATAATTGTCAAATTGGGGGGATTAGGGGGATTCTCTAGTCTCCCTATGTGATGCAGAACATCACATATTTTACATGGTGAAGGGGATCTGACCAAATACTTAGAACGGCTGTTTAGATGATGATCGGTCAATATTCCGAGAGTCAAATCAACGAAAGAGACAGAGTGAAAGAGTTTAAAATATGTTAGTCATTGATGATTTAGTCATAATGTCAATAGTTTTAGCAGTAGCTGTGTAAAGCGAATGCTAATATTTTTTTGTTGCTGCATTTTAAACACTGATTTTATGGCGTAAATATTCACCTCACGAAAACAAGATTTGGAAAATATGCCAGAGTTAGAGAGTGGAGCTGTTGACCTATAATCGACCAAGAGGCATTGACCAGGCTCAGAATATAGAACCGTGGTAGTTGTGTTGGGTATCATATGGTCGGCCTCGTCCGACTATACTGCTCCACTTACTGTTTTTTGCTATTTGATTTTCAAGTCAATAACAAAAATTTATGCTCATGTAGTTTGCTAAATTTGGGTGCATCAAAATATTTAGGCTATGTCAGAAGATGGACCCATATTTAACATTTTCACAGATAAGTTTTTTTATCATCAAGGACCAGGAATACCGAACTACAGCACCTTCGTCCTAGGACCATCAAAATAAAAAAAATAGATCAAAAGTGACCTACCTGGAAACTTTTTTATATATGTAGTACCGCCACTGAGAAACTAGAATTCCAAATTATACAGCTTTTCGGCTGAAATGCTCGTAGAACCGTCAACATACTTGAAAAGGTAGGGATCTTTATATATGGGATTCTATTTCACCAAATATGTGTTTTACCCCTCCAAAAAGCGGAGGGTATAATGCGGTCATCCCAATCATAGGAGTGTAGTTTTAAGTTATATTTTAAATATTGTGACCTTTAGCGTAATTTTTCAAAAAGTATTTATAAAAATATGTAGTCCCCTTCGGCCATCCCAATAATAGGAGTAGAGTGTAGATTTAAGATCTATCTTAAATCATGTGACCTTTATCGTAATTTTTCAAAAAGTATTTATAAAAATATGTAGTCCCCTTCGAAGTAATATATATTCCGAAACATGAGCTATGGCGAATTGGCCCTTATGGGTTCTAAATATACTCGCTAAAGGTTTTCAACCTACCATTTTGTTGCATAGTATTTATTAATCTATTTTTAAAAAAATTAAAAATTTATATAAAAAAACGAATCGATGTTGACCATCCAAAATAATGTAGTAAATCGTTGGTGGTAGTGGTCAAGAACAAAAATATTTGCATTGTCCCATCCCATCCATTACCATTTGCCACAACAACAACACTTCAGATGGGTGTGTGTTTGTTCAACCTAATTGAATTCCATTAACTATGAACGTATACTTAATATAAATAGATTTATAATAACATAAATATCACTCAACCGCAACAATGCACCTTTTCATCGAATCCACCACCATGTTTATAGATGTATGAATGTATGGATGGATGCAACGACCAACACACAGAAACAAAACTCCTAGGTTTTTGGGGTCAGTCCTTCAGTCCATCTCTTTCTATGCATCGATTGCATTTCTAATTTTAAAATTAACTTTCAATGTCGATATAAAATTACTGAAAATAGACCGGAGCACAACAGCAACAACAGAACAGCAGGTAATGTCATCTGTGTGCGAGTGTATTATTTTTAACATTGTGTGTGTGTGTGAGTGGGTGGGTGGTTTGTTTGTGCATTTTAACTTTATCGATACTGATTTGCTGCTGCAGCTATTTTTATTTCATTATATGCTTTTGTTTTTATCTTTTTCTTTTTATTTATTTATTTACTATACCACAATGCCAAAGTTTATAGCAGCCATATGACCAGTTCTCGTTCTTCTCTCGTTCGTTCATCTGTTTTAATTTAACTTTTGCAATATTTGTACATGGAAAGTTCATTTGAGGTTTCTTGTTTTTCTCCCCAGATTTCTTTCTTCGATTCGATTTCGTTTTCTATTTTAAACGAGTGTAAGAAGACAAAACAAAGGTAAACACACAGAAAATACTCAATGAAGGATGTAAAACTTTTGTTTCCTTTGCTGGAGTTCAAGAAGTTCTTTTTATCTTCACCTTAATGAATTGTTTGAATGCTGTACTTTTGCCCTTTTGCCAGGGATTATTTGTATGGCAATGAAAAGAGTGGCAAATAAGGGAGAGAAAGTATTTCAACTTGACTTTTTGAATCTTTCGATTGAAATTAAAATTGAAAAATGTTTATGTAGGAATATCTTCTTGACATTTGATGTATAGCTGTTAGAAATGGCAATAATGGAAT